CTCTGATATTGTCATATTTTAGTTTTGGAATTCAGACATTGTAATTGTGTGGTTGTTGGATCCTAACAGCAGAAAACGGCTCGAGAAATGGACTTCGGAAGTTTGTGAACTCCATAACTAAAAAAGGGAATCAGATGTGTGTGACTCAAACCTCCGTTCAAACTGTTTCTCTTCCCAACAGAATTGAAAAATACTGCAAGGCGAAGGTGATGGGTAGTATTGATCCACGGGAAGGACTAAAAAGGAAACCTTTGTCTGCCTAAGAAATCATCCCAAGTTTGCAGTGAATGTTTTGTATGTGGAGCAACAACAAAACAAAATCCCGATCTGTCAACCTTGGTTCCAAAGTTAAAAAGTCAATGCCAAAGCAAAAGGCACCAGCTGTTCTCCAAGAAACACCTTCCACTGCAAAGAGACCAAGACGTGATGTTTCTGTAAAACCACAAGAACAAGAAAGTGCAGCTCATTCTGTTTGTCTTCAGTACCTCTCGATTAACAAACGGGATTCGGCTTTGATGGCGCTCCACATACAAAATGTTTTCTGCAAACTCGGGATGATTTCTTAGGCAGACAAAGGTTTCCTTTTTGGTCCTTCCTGTGGATCAATCCTGCCCATCGCCTTCACCTTTCACTATTTTTCAATTCTGTTTTTGAAAAGATTGACATTGACAATAGACACATTACACTGGGAAATCAAACATGGCAGTTTGATGTTCACTTTTTCAGAAAATCCTTCCCAGTATGAATTGTGCAATGCCCAGAAGTCCGAAATTCATGATGCACGAATGCATGAATGACTTGGGTATAATTATTACTTTAGCAAAACTTTAAATCTGTTTCTGGACTGACACATACGGCCCTTTGATTGACTTTGACCGGCCCATTCAAGCACATTTGGAATTACAAAACATATTGTATCATTAGACCTCATGCCTGGACTAAAGCTGTATTGCTTTTATTTTAGAGGTACTTTTTTTTAAATGACATTTTTTGTAAAGCAGCCTCACTGTTTCATTGGTTAGTCAGAACATCCATTCTTACAAGCTGTAGACTGAAAATCCTTCAACTCTTTCTGTGTAAGCGCTACTGTGAGTTATGTCGTTTTGGTCTTAAAATATAGTTTTTTTACTCACTCTACATGATCCTGTCTTATTTAGCTATTTTCTCCCTAACTCAAGATATAAACATATATTATCACATTAGCCTTAGCAACAGGTTGATTGACAGGTGGGCATTACCTTTAACAGCCTCGCTCCTTGATTGATTCTTTGGTTTTGAGCTAGGATTTCCAAATATGGCCCCTGATTGGAGATTTGCTGCTAATCCCAATGACCTTAATTTGTTTTCAACAGAAAGCTGTATGTGCCAGTGCACTCACACACTTCTGCACAGAACATACAAAGGAGCAACGCACAAACACACTGGCCCAACTAAGCCTCACCCACATTGGTGCTCAAAAACACACAAACTGTATCCTATCTCCTGGTTTCAAAGGCCCTCATTGACAAGTGGATTCACTGATCAGAGACAGACCATCAAGTTTTCCAACTGCTGTAACCCAACGCAAAGTTATTAAAAAGTTACACTAAAGATAAGCCCAAACATTTTTCAAAACCATAAACATTACAGATTTGTGCCCAATCTTACAGACACAAGGCCTACGGCAACACATTCATGGACAAATTACATCTACTATGCCTGTTTGCTTCCATGTAGGCCTGTGCTGACAGAGAAATATTAGTTTTAAACTGCCAGTTAACCTGCAGCACCAGAGTAGAGAGAGACAACACAAAACTAATACATTTCAAAACAGTAATGAAATCTAACAGTGATTAAATGTTTTATGAATAACAGACTTTTCACATCAGCTCAAGTGCCACGATGTCAGCTAAATGTCACTTCAGGTTCTGTGTAAATGTGTGTAGGTGTGTATGTGCATGTGTGTATAAATGTGAGTAAATGTGTGTGTGTGTTTGTGTAAATGTGTGTATAGGTGTGTGTGTGTATAAATGTGTGTGCATAAATGTGTTTGTAAATGTGTGTAAATGTGTGTGTAAATGTGTGTATAAATGTGTGTGTATAAATGTGTGTATAAATGTGTCTCTAAATGTGTGAGTAAATGTGTGTGTAAATATGTGTAAATGTGTGTATAAATGTGTGTAAATGTGTGTATAAATGTGTGTGTGTAAATGTGTGTATAAATGTGTGTGTGTGTATGTAAATGTGTGTATAAATGTGTGTAAATGTGTGTATAAATGTGTGTGTATAGGTGTGTGTGTAAATGTGTGTATAAATGTGTGTGTGTAAATGTGTGTATAAATGTGTGTGTGTATGTAAATGTGTGTGTATAAATGTGTGTAAATGTGTGTGTATAAATGTGTGTGTGTAAATGTAAATGTGTGTATAAATGTGTGTAAATGTGTGTATAAATGTGTGTGTATAGGTGTGTGTGTAAATGTGTGTATAAATGTGTGTATAAATGTGTGTGTAAATGTGTGTATAAATGTGTGTGTATGTAAATGTGTGTATAAATGTGTGTGTGTAAATCTGTGAGTAAATGTGTGTAGGGGTATGTGTGTGTAAATGTGTGTGTATAAATGTGTATAAATGTGTGTGTATAGGTGTGTGTATAAATGTGTATAAATGTGTGTGTATAGGTGTGTGTGTAAATGTGTGTGTGTAAATGTGTGTAGGGGTGTGTGTGTGTAAATGTGTGTGTATAGGTGTGTGTGTAAATGTGTGTGTGTGTGTGTGTGTGTAAATGTGTGTGTGTAAATGTGTATAAATGTGTGAGTGTAAATGTGTGTGTTTAAATGTGTGTATAAATGTGTGTGTATAAATGTGTATAAATGTGTGTGTGTAAATGTATGTGTGTAAATGTGTGTGTGTAAATGTTTATCCACAACTTTCAAGAGAAGAAAGACGAAAACTTAAAGGAAACACGGAGCACACGATAGTCACACAACAAACTCAAGTCATAAAATGAGAAATGGATTTCATGATGTAGATCTTAACCCAGACAGAGGTTTGTGCAGATGAAATGTGACACATGGAAACTCTGAACATCTGTAACATTCAAACTGCACAAATCTCTGTCTATGCTCATATCTACATCATGAAAGTTTTAGTCATAACCATAACGTTTTGCTGGGGGAGTTTTGCTCAGTAGTTCACATTTCCACACACATTTTGCCACAGAAGACCATTAACCGGAAGTGACATTTCCTTTATCACCTTTCATGACCTTTAATAGACAGTGAACTTATGCACCAGCTGATAGGAAGTGTCATCCAGTCGTTTCTAAAATAAACTCATGAGGTTAACTGTTTAAGCTCTAATCTGCAACCAGGAACCAGATTTGGAAATCCAAGCATGAACCAGTCTGGAGTGAGGCTGTTGAAGGTCACGCTGCAGGTTTGGCAGGGTGTGGCTGCTGGACTTAGGGAGCAAATGGTGAAATATAAGCCCAGGGTCATGTACAGCAGGTTAATATGAACATTTTGAGGTGAGAATGAGGCCTTACAGCAGCACTTACAGACAGAGGAGCCACGCTTTTTACATTTAAAGAGAATTTCAAAAAGGAAGCTCTTCCACCCATGCTCACTTCCTGTTGGACTGTAGCTCTGTCCATTTGTACTGTATATCTGGTTTATGGTTTTGGGGCAGAGCTGAGTCTGAATGTGCTTGTTTAGCGGCATGTACACGTAGAGAGTGATCTGCTGTGGTTGTTTTTGTTGGAGTCTGTGCAGATGAGGTGTGAGCTCACCACAGTGTCCAGGCCCAGCATGAGGAGCATGATGAAGAAGCACACAGCCCACAGCTGAGGCAGAGGCATGAGGGCCACAGCCTGAGGGAAGGCGATGAAGGCCAGACCAACACCTGCACACAAACACATGGGAAGAGTGTGTCAGAGATGGACAGGTGCTGGGACAGGAGCTGGGACAGGTGCTGGGACAGGTGCTGGGACAGGTGCTGGGACAGGAGCTGGGGTGTAGTAGTAGTAGAAGAAGCAATAATAATAATAATAATAATAATAATAATAATAATAATAATAATAATAATAATAATAATAATAATTACTCCACTGTGTTTTTAAAGTCCATACACCTTTAACAGAGTCATGTGGATAATTTCAGTGCTGGAATTGCTCATCTCTGCTGAACTTAATCTAAAAGGAGCTGTATGTTTTGATGAGGTAATAATATACAACGTGGCTTATGTATTAATAGTTTCCTTTTAGCCTGAGATCAGATGAAATTATCCAACTGATTTGAGTGAAGGTTTTAAAAACACAGTGGAGCACTTCCTATATTACCACATGACATCACAAGGTGGAAAAGATTGTTTTCTGTTTGAGAGAAGAACTGAGCCTAAATGTGCAGGGCTTGTGTGTTAAACATGTGTGAAACAAAACACAACGAGCAATATGTCTGTTTATATAATGTTGTCTGGAGAGTCATACCTGAGCTGACCACCATGTCCACAGTCACCCCCTGCTGTTTGGCCATGAAGCCCAAAGTGGAGAAGACAGCGAACCCAGCCAAAAAACTGGTGCCACTGTTGAGGGCACAGAGCCACAGACTGTCCCTGGAAGACACACAAAGAAGCAGGTCAGGACACAAGGACAAACTAGGAAAGCACAAAGAGGCTGTGGTCTGGTATTGCCAAGAATGGATCCTGTCCTGCTGCTGCCTTGTGCATGAGGTGTTTTGCAGTTTTTACAGCAGATTCAGCCTTTCCCTGCTTTGTGGGCATCCAGGTGAAGGCATCCTGTGCTCGAATTCCCACTTTTGTCTGAATGTCTTAAATTCGGGTGACATATACTACAGTCCGTTATTGGAAACAAGAACGTCTGGTATCCCCTGACGAGCACAGTGTGCCTTCAACTTGTGAATCACTGTGTCACTATTTGAAAATAGTCCACTTCCCAGAAGTCCACAGGTGCAATAATACCTTTTGTCTAAAGATCTTTCTATTCCTCCATGAGTGGCACCATCGTCGCTACAGGTACCCTGCACTTGAACTTTACAGACTTACACTTTTGTCTAAATCCTGTACTTGCCCTCTTAGCAGCCTACACCTTTGTCTTCAAACTCAGTCTTTATTTTGTCCGTGTTTTCTTTTGCTGTTACTAAACTGTCTATTGCCAGGATGTTTTCATATTGTACTTTGAACCGTTTTCCAGCCTAGTAAGGGAATCCTGTCGTCCTGTTCTAAAACTTGAAACTCCAGTATGTACAGTTATTAATTATTTCTTGGATTTTGGAGTTTGACTTTACATATCCCAAGTGGTTTTAATCTGCTCTTGTTGTGCAGACAGTAACGATCACTTTCTCTGTATTTTCTTATTTTGTGCATCTGGCTTTAATAGCTGCATTGGAATAACATTACATGTGGCACCACAGTCTATCTGGAAGTAAACTAACTTCTTGTCTGAGAACATACCTGCAAAGAGCTGCAGGCTTTTACATTTACCTGCATTATTGTCTCTTTCTTTCTTTTCACACACTTCTGGTATTGTCATGATGTCCTCAAAAGAATGACTAGAAGGACTCACTGCAAAGTGGTTCTCTTTTCCACATTTCTTGCATTTTCATGTCATGTATTTCTTCCACTGTCCTTCCTTGTATTGTTTTACTGTTTTTCTTTTAACAACTCTGCTGCTCTGCATATGTGCACACATAGTCAAGAATTAAGTTTTCCTCTCTTAACAGTCTTTCTCATTGCAGAGCTGTTTGGACTACAAACAATGTGGTCTCTTATTAACAAAACTTTAATGTTGCAAAAATTGCATGTGTTGACCAAAACTCTCAAATCGTGACATATCTGTCAATGTTCTCGTCCTGGCCTTGATTTAAAAACCAAAACAAAAACAAACCAAAAAAACATTTGTATCTCTCGACCATCTCGTTCAGTTTTGGCTTACAATGTTCATCAATAAGCAGCATCATAGAACTCACAGCCCTTTTCTCACTTGACAGCGTGTCCAAAAGTTCCCTTCTTCTCTCTCTGAGAGAGAGGAAGTTGTTGTTTCCTCAACATCAGAATGATGAGATTCGTGTACAACGAGAACTCTTCCTTCTAGCTTTTCCATGTCTTAGCTAAGTTGGCAGAGTCCAAACCAAACATCAGGGGCGACTTCAGCCCATCCATGGCAAAATCTATGGCTCTCTTTGTCTCAATCTTGACCTCTGGTGTTGAAGACGAGTTACCTCTGTCTTGTTTAGGTGAAAGAGCTGAGTTAGGGCCACAGTGTGTCTCTTTCTCCTCATGTGTCCTCGCATATCACAAGTTTTGACTTAAATCTCCACAGTCCCCCTCCCTCTCCTTGATCCAGCAGCTCCTTAGCTTTTCTTTTTCTCTCCTCTGATGCTTCTTATCAGTGTAATTCAAGTTACGGACAGTAAACAACTTTCTTTATCAATGAAATGTAAGACCTCATTTAGTGCATGGACACCATACATGTTTCTGTCAATAACGATAACATGCACAAGCAAATAAATGTGAATTTAAGGGAGGAGATTGAATTGAATACTGAAATTGATGAATATAGTGAAAAAAATAGTGCTTCTTTTGTTTTTCCATACTGCTCAGCCCTAACGCATATCCATACTTCATAAAGCCCTTTTAGAGACTTACTTGTAGCAGTTGTTTCTCTTTTTGTTGTAGCTGCTCAGTGTAATCAAAGTCCCTGAGGCCACTCCGTAGGAGAACATGACCTGAGAGCAGGCGTCCAGCCACACCTGAGGACACATAACAAAGTGACTGGACATGACCTGTATCTAGACTGCAGCAGCACAAACAGCAGCCCCCTCAGCTTAGCCATGGCCTTCCTTATGTCAAGTCTTAGGTGGTCTCCCTATCTTAATAAAGGCCTCACATCATGCAAAATGTAATTATTTAAAGCAAATTCAACCAACAATGTAATTCTTTATATTTCTACCTGAGATACATAGGTTTGGTTTCATTGGTATGTCTCTGTCACTCTGTATTGTTGTTCTGAATACACTGTCCCCTCAACAGAATACAAGGGCAGTGGTCACCTCCAGGTCGGCCAGGCGGGAGGGCTCGGGGTACAGGTAGAAGACCACTCCATCCCAGGCTCCAGGCAGCGTCAGGCCTCGCACCAGCAGCACAGCCAACATCACATACGGGAACACAGCTGTGACATAGACCACCTGAGAGAGAGAGAGGACCACACTTACTCCCATCAACCACAGCCACACACACATTACACAGACGACACCAACAGATGGATCACTACTGACAATAAACACATAACACTAATACAGATATAGATATTATAGATATTATAGATATTTTGTGGATGACACTTGTGGTCACTGTTCATGAGGGAAATGTAGAGAGGTAATTAAAGTGTTTGAGATCAGCCTGTAGGACGACATAAATATACATGCACATTCATATATTACAGATAGAATATGATGTGCTTTTTCATTTGAGATAAATACATTGTGTACACACCTTCCCAGTGGAGCGCACTCCTTTCCAGACACAGAAGTAGCAGACCACCCAGCAGACGAAGAGAGACAGGAGCACCTGCCACTGCACCTGCCCTATCTCCTGGATGTCCTGGGACAGGGACAGCACCCCCCTCCTGTAGGACGCACACAGCAGGTTTACATGTGGGCCAAGAAAAGAACTTTTATACAGGGTTTACACCAGGAGTCCCAAACCTTTTTCCTTTAGTGAGCTACCTTTACAGAGCAAAAATTCTAGAGAGCTACAGATGTTAGCGGTTGGAAGAAATGGAGCATATATAACAGCCATAATACACCTTAGACGGGGAACAGGTTAGATCTTTATAAAACTTAAACTATTATCCATTTATTAGAGCACAACGTTAGACATCAAAACGATACATTTATAATCATAATTAATTCAGTTTTACTTGGTCAGCACAGTACGTGTCATCAGAAATCATTCGGCGAGCTGCTTGGAAGGAGAAGAGCTACTGGTAACTCCCGAGCTACAGGCTGGAGAGCCCTGGTTTACACCTTCATCACCTGGCTTCTCCGGTATACTGGTTTATACTGGTTTATACTGGTTTATACTGGTTTATACTGGTTTATATTGATTTATACTGGTTTATACTGGTTTATAATGGTTTATAATCGTTTTTAATAGTTTATACTGGTTTATATTTATTTATATTGGTTTATACTGGTTTATACTGGTTTATACTGGTTTATACTGGTTTATATTGATTTATACTGGTTTATACTGGTTTATAATGGTTTATAATCGTTTTTAATAGTTTATACTGGTTTATATTTATTTATATTGGTTTATACTGGTTTATACTGGTTTATATTTAATGGTTTATACTGGTTTATAATGGTTTATACTGGTTTATACTGGTTTATGCCGCCACAGGACCAGCAGACATTCTGGTGCTGTGTCTGCTTAGAGTCTGTTCAGGTTTGACACTGTCTCACTGTGTAGCACATCACTCTTTTCACCGTCTTGATCAACTACCCAGCTGAAATTTTGTATTTACACATCAGTGTATGTGAATGTGGGCCTAGGTGTTGTGTGTACTAGTATACAGATACAGATACAGATACAGATACAGTGTGTACACACTGTATCTGTATCTGTATACTAGTTTCATTGTCCCCTAGCATTTTTAAGTTGATTATTTTCAGTTTGTTCCAACATTTGTTCCAATACATTTCTTTCAATAACGCCTCATGATCTCTGAGTGATGTGCACCTTTCCTGGTCTCCCAAAAACTTAGAATCATTCAGACCAGATATGTCAGACTCAGGCCAGGGAGCCAAATTTGGTCCACAATACAATTATATTTGGCCCACGAGATATCAAATCTGTATTAGAGCTGCCCGCCGGCTACAGATGAGTCATTATTTATAGAGACATTATTTATTTAAAATGTTGTTATTATTTTATGTTATGCTTGTTTTGGATTCAATGTTTAAGCAAAACTATTATTAAACATTTATTTTAATAAGAAAAGGTTTAATATTACATATCTTAAAAGAAGAGAAAACATGCAGATGTTGTTGAAATTTTCCAATAAATATTTTGTTTGGTCCACAACTTAGTCCTAGTTTTCATTTTTGGCCTCTGTGAATTTGAGTTTGATACTCCTGCTCTAGACTCTTTTGAGTCAGCTGTGTCAACTTGACAATCTAAAGTGACTTGAAACCACCTCTGTTGACATTCAGCTACAGGAACCTTGAGCTCTTGCTGACAACCTGACTGGCCGGTTACACTCAGGCTCAGCAGCACAGATTATCCAACAGGCGTCTGCAACAACAGCAGCAAGATCACCTCAGCTCTGAGCAGCCAGAGAAGAAAAGAAGCAAAGAAGTCAAAGAAACACCACCATTTCAACATTCAGCGTCCACTGTTTGTTCTGTGATCATCACATGACTAGATGTTCCCGAATGAAAGTTTGATCCAAGCAGGAACTTCAGGAATGGTTAAAGAAGTGTCCTTCTCCAGGTGTTCTATGAGTATTAAGTGAGCGTGTCATCAGACACTTACTTCTGTCTCCAATGGAATTCTAGCCCTGCTCATTAAAATGGCATTTTGGCAAAATGTACTTATGCAGTGTTTCATTTTAAAGCTGCACAAAACCCATTAGTGTACCTGTAGAGATTTCTAGATGTAGAGGTTTCTATGAACGTAAATATGGTGCAGAATGAGAGAGCATGTAAACTTGATTTGAGAACTTTTGAATAATAATAAAGTACACTCACTTCACTACATACTATTAGGTGAAAGAGTCAGAGTCTCAGAGTGCATAGGAACATATACTACAATATAAGATCTAAACTTTAAAATACAGAAAGGGCCTGGGAACAACTGGGTGATCATAGACACAACAGTCAGCTGACATTTCTGGGCAAAGTGCTAAAAAAGCTATTTATTTATTTATTTTTACAATGTCTCTCTTATTAGAGGAAAACAAAGTTTGTTTGTAAATTTTCTTGTAAATTATGTGTAAAAGGTTTGAGAAAACATGTCTCCCTTGTGCTGTCACTGTATTATTACTGTTCTGCAGCTGTAAAGTAATTGCATAAGATTAAATTTTTTCTGGAAAGATGGTTGGCATTATTAAATATTTTTCTCAGTAACTCCTAACTGTGGATTATGACATAGCACTTTTACAACTTCATGAAGTTCGCTAGTTTTGATGTTGGATGTGTTGAGCCTGTTATCATGTGGCTTGTCGTTAAAGGGTGTGCAGAGACTCACTCCCAGAACTCAGATACAGACGACGTGGAGGCATTAGCCAGGCTCTGGTTGAGTGGGGTGGTCCCGTTCATGGAGGAGAGATCCACGCACCTGTCTGTATGCAGAAGCACACTGTCAGCGCACCTGTCTGCACATACAACCCACTCTGAATGCACCTGACTCCTGTGAACTTTAAACCATGTTAAAATGTTGTTACCTCATCAAAAACAAACCTGGAGTTGTGGTTTGTTTCATTCACAAATATTTGAGTAATCCTGCTTTATTAGTTTGCCTCCAAAGCTCAGAATGCTCTGTTCCACCTTGTGATGTCATGAAGCTCTAGTTTTGAAGTTAAGCCTTTTACCTTTTGTTCTGTAGAGATTGGCATCTCCAGGGCTGAAATGATCCATGATTCTAGTGAAGCGAAGTTTAAAAACAAAGTAGAACACTTTCTGTATTACACATATTACACATGACATCACAAACTGGAGTGTTTTGAGAGAAGAACCTGCCTAAATGTACAGGTTTGTGTGTTAAACATGTGAATGAAACAAAACACAACTGAAATTGTGACCTGTGTTCCAGGGGTTGTTGCAGGACGCCCAGGGCAGCACGATTCTGAAGCTGTAGATGAGGTAGAGGAGCGCCCAGGCCAAGATGATGATGTATGCTCGTGAGAACATCTGGATCATTAAGATGGAGTAGCCTGTGCCTGTGGGGACACGTGTCTTTAAAGCAGACCTATTCCATACAATGGACTTTTCAGAGCTTTTAATATCCATGTTCGAGTTGTTTCCTCTCACCAGTTACACTGTTTGAAAAATTTTGAATTACTGAATAACCAGTGATGGAAATAACGGCATTAAAATAAAATCTGTTACTAACAGCGGCACTTTTTTCAGTAACAAGTAATCTAACTAATTACCTTTTCTATCTTTACACTGTCATTACCGTCATCAACACGCTGTTACTGCGCGTTTTACTGAAGCTGCTCACTGAAGCTGTCATCAGACGTGGCTCACACACACACAGCACAGCGGTGCTTGGCTGTTGGTGTGAGTGCAGCCACAGAACTCTCCACAACTGTGCTTGAGCACGACACAGTCCAAAAGTCCTAGTGTGAGTGCACCATTTAAAAAAAAGAAAAGTAATGCCATAGTTACTTTCCCTGGTAACTAGTTACTTTTATGGTGAAGTAACTCAGTTACTAACTCTACTTTTTGAGACAAGTAACTAGTAACGAATGCTAATGACTTTTTCAACACTTAATAACACCACATTGCTGCATCCACTCACTGTTCTGTACTTGCTTCATTCTCTTTGTTGCGTAGTCATTTTGGTACAAGTGAAAAGACTCCACAGCTCAGTGATGACCTGAGCTGTCCACAGGAGAGGACACGTGTCTCTGCTGTGATCACGTCTACAGCAACCTCACTTCCCACGGGGCACTGTTTTTTTGTTTTGTTTTGTTTTTACGCAGAAGTCAGCAGACTTGTTTTGTTTTTTTTTTTTTTTTTTTTTGTCATTTTAGATGAATATTGTGATTTAAAATGCACAAATTTAAAGATAATGTGTATTAAATTATAACAACAGAGCAGACACAAGCGCCACAGGTCTCCACTCTCTGAATATGTGTAAGCCTTTAAACTATCAGTACATGCTTTTTAAATTGAGAGTCTTTCAAAAGGTTTAAGAGTGATGAAAAATGTGTTTCATAAATTTATAGACAAAACTTTACTAAGAAAAATATACACATTTCCATTTCTTCAGAGCACACACCACGACAGTCTGCCTCTGCCGGAGCTTCCAGACTTATCATGAATAACAAAGGAGAGAAAGAGCACCCCTGGCTTTTCTAAAGGGTTTATTTACTCTTAGGTATTTTCACTAAGGACTAAGAATTAACAATAAGTTTAGGACAAAACCCCACAGTGTGAAAGGAAACACTAACCTAGACGTTTGGACATCTTCAGTTCACTGACAAGGCCTTAATAAAGGATCACTTATTAAAGGATTTTTAGTTAAACATTAGAGTACATGGATCATTGCCAGTCTACATTTCCAATGCATACTTGATGATCACATGAGCACCATGAGGCACTTTCATCATCTCAAAGCTCAAAATGCTCTATCCACCTTGTGATGTCATTAAGTGGTAACTTTCCAATTAACCTAAGTTATTTTTACCTTTTGTTCAGTAGAGACTGGAAGTCCTGAGGGCTGAAATCATCTCAGTAATTCTACTGAAGGTGTGTGGAGTTTAAAAACCCAGTTGCCTCAGAGTTTGAACTCACAGATATCACGAGAATCTTCCTGTGCCAGTATAATATGTGCACTTTCATGTGTTCAATAATATGTAGAAAGTGCTGCACATTGTCAGATGGAATTCTGGAATGTTTTGGAATTTTGTGTACATGTTCTGCACATTTGTTATTTTGCACTCACCCTGGAAGAGCGGGCAGAGGCGGAGCCAGCATGTTACTGCCCCTTGCTGACAGTACTGACCAATCACAGTCTCCAGCATAAAGAGGGGCACCCCACAGAGCACCGCGAAGAAACAGTAAGGCACCAGGAACACCCCTGAAACACACGCACTGTGAGAAAAAACACACACAATAAAACAGATTCAAATAGTCAAATATATATTCAATCTTAAAGCAGACCTCTATTACAAAATGGACTTTTCAGAACTTTTAAGCATATTCTAGGTGTTTCCCGTCACCACCAAAGTCAAGTCAGTCAAGACGCCATTTTGCTGATCAAACCCCATTTTCACCTCCACCAGTACACAGCCACTGTGACGCTGGCACTTCTCCAGTTGTATTTTTTAGTCAAAGATACACACAAGATTCAGCAGCAGCACAGTCATTTTGGTACAAATGAAAAAAATAAATAATAATAATCAGCTTCTTCCTAGTGTGATGTGCAGCTCTCCACCAGACACCAGCAGAAGTCTGTGGACTTCTTTCTTTTATTAAATCATTTTAGATCAATGTTACAACTTAAAATGGCCAAATTATAACATAATGATCCACATGTGTCATAGATTATAACTGTAGCACACAAACAAGCACAACATGTGTTCTTCAGAGTTACACTATGTAACTTTTCTGATCTAACTTTTGTACCTGGAATATGGCTGGAGACCATGACAAGTTACAGGTCTGATCTGTGGAGAGGTGAGCATGCTTTCGCTTTATGTTTTTTTCAAGATCTTTAGCAATAAAAACTCTTATAGTTGAAAAAAAAAAAAAAGTTTATGCCATACATTAAAAAAATGTCTGCCAGTGGTTTACAGTTGTGTAGGCGGATCTAAAGACCAGGAAGAACCAGACGAGCAGAGAGCGACTCTAGTTTGCTCTTGTATTTCAGGTTGGAGAGGTATATGCATTTCCTTGAACGTTATGTCATTTCAAATTCACAGTAACCTGTGACCTTGGGCCGCAGCTTTTTCATTGTAAGTGAGTAACTCTCAGTTACATTTCATCAAATATACTTTTACTCCTGCTGGACTTTTACTCCTGCTTCAGGATGGGAAAGATTTTGTGCATTAGACAATCACTGTCACCTCATTATCACTGTAACTGCACTATGTGTCACTATCAGAGGCTGCTCCTCTGTTCTTGTAGCACAGCTTAGAGAAACCGAATACTAGAGGTAATGGTTAGTTAAGTAATGTAGTAATATAAAACATTCATTAATCACAGGGAGGGGAGCAGGTTAATAGTGGTGTTGTAAGTAGTAGTATGAGTATGTTAGTCATTTCAGAAGTACTTTTGGCTGACCTCCTCCATTCTTGTAGCACAGATAGGGGAACCTCCAGACGTTGCCAAGGCCCACCATGTTTCCGGCCGATGCCAGGATGTACTCCCGTTTATGGCTCCACTTTTCTCTCTCACTCTCCGTGCTGATGTGCCCCAAGATGCCCTCTGACCCTCCTCTGTCCTCACTCTTGTCCTCTTGTGTCTCCATGGATGTCCCCTCTCCTTTCCCTATCTTTGTGGCTGTCCTCTCTCGCCTTTCTCCTCCGTCCTCATCTGTCCTCTCTCGTCCTCTCTGCTGCGTTCTTGTCCACACTTAAACAACTTCAACAAAATTCTGCCTGGGGTTCTCAGATTTAAGTCCGCCCACTCTTCCCCAGGCTGTAATCGTCACCTGTAGGTGTCAGTAACTTGAACTTCAACCTAACGACCACTGTTGGGCAAGTTACTTTGAAACTGTAATGCATTATTTATTACCTATTACTGTCATTTCAAAGTAATTCGTTACATTACAATATTACTGCATTTAAAATGTAAGGCATTACATTACTATTGCATTACTTTAAGTTACTCTCACCAAAATAACTTTTGCGCTGTATATGGACTGAACCAGGACTAAACCAGGTCTAAACCAGGACTAAACCAGAGCTGAACCAGGACTAAACCAGAAGTGAACTAGGATTATAACAGGACTCACTGTAGGGACGGGCTCGAAGGTGACCTCAGGAGAAAGGAGCGGCTCTGCTCCGCACCTCACGGAGGTAAGAGCGGCTGTCACCCGATCGCTCTTTATGGACCCTGCTGCTCGGGCTCGCGGCCCTGATTTCAGCAACTATTTGCAGGTACCCGAGCCGGTGCAAGAGTCTGTTACAGCGCGTCACTTCTACCTTCCTTCAGCGTGTCCAGAAGTCCAACTTTTTGTGTGATGGTTAGCATCTTCCTCTGCCTTTTGGGTGCGAGCGCAGGAGCCTTTGTCGGTGCAGAACGTTTCGTCGACGTTGTGGGTTTCGTCGGGGAGAAAACTTGCAACCGTACAGCACTTCAGAATCACACTGCTAGAGATTAAACATGTATTTAAATTTGGCAGCTGAACACATTCTGTACTGTACTGTACAGGAGACAGGAGTCCCTTGGCCAAGTCAGGACGCAGCGGGAGGAACGCAATACGCATTCATACAACGTAAAAAAATAAAAATAAAATAAAAGGGCGTGCAAAATTGCACAAAAAAAATAAAAAATAAAATCTGCGAAACAGCGAGACCGCGAAAAGTAAACTGCGATAGAGGGAGGGACGAGTGTAAACCAGGTCTAAACCAGGTCTAAACCAGAAGTGACCCAGGTCTAAACCAGGTCTAAACCAGAACTGACCCAGGTCTAAACCAGGTCTAAACCAGAAGTGACCCAGGTCTAAACCAGGTCTAAACAGCGTGGAGTTCTTTGTCAGTCCTTTCGCCCGCGGTCACCTGACGGTCTACGAGGGCGCATCTCCGGCGTTTCACCGCTGCTGATATCGAGGTGATTTTAGCGAATTTGTATGAAGAAAAACCCACCACTTCAATCCAGGTTAAAAAAACATTGTAACGCGCGTTACTCACATTTGTACCGAGTAAAATATTACTATTTTTTCCCCTGTAATGCCTTACATTACTGCGTTACTCCCAACACTGCTAACGACTATAATAATTACTACTACAACTGCTACTACTGGTGCTCTTGCTACTTCTACTTCTAATACTGCTACTGTTGTTATTACTATTACTTACTATTACTACTTCTACTTCTACAACAGATACTACTGCTGGAGTACAGTAGAGGGCCATGCATGAAGAGCTGTGTGTCCTTGGCGCACCTTGTTTATCAGTAGAATGTGGAGGCATAAATCCTGTCAAATGTCAAACTATGTCACTGTGAGGAAACAATAAAACAACTGTCAAACCATGAATCAGAAAGTAGCCTACTACGGGCTTTTAAAGGGCCCGTATTGTTTGATAAGCAAATCCTGCACATTTAGGCTGAGTTCTTTTTTCAAACTAAAAACACTCCTCCACCTGTGATGTCATGAAGTGCTAATAAAGGAAGTTCTGCATTGTGTTTTTAAACTCCACACACCTTCACTAGAATCATCTGGATAATCTCAGCCCTGGAATTGGCAATCTCTACTGAACTAATGACAAAATGTAGCTGCTAATGTGAAAACTACCACTCATGACATCACAAGGTGGAACAGGGCATTTTGAGCTTTGGAGATCTTGACAGACTAATAATGCGGGACAACTCCAGGTCTGTTTTTGATGGGGTAAGCCCATTCTACACACAAGAGTTCATCATCTGTAATATAACTTAAAGGTGAAGTTAACCTTCAACTCATAAAATGAAATGTCATAAAATGTTACATTTAATGCTTCTGTCCTGTATTGTCCAGTGTAAATGGAGACCTGTGAGCTCAAAGCAGTATGAGCAGTAGTAGTAGTAGTAGTAGTAGTAGTAGTAGTAGTAGTAGTAGTAGTAGTAGTTGGACAGTATTAGCAGCAGTGTCTGGTTTTACATGTTTGGTTTACGATCAAGGACAGAGTTCACAGATTAGTCTCTCAAGAACCAGTCTCTTCATGTCTTCATGTAACTTTAAAATATTATTATTATTATTTATTTATATTTATTTATTTTTTTTGGAGCCTCATAAATCAACTGAGTTAAAATATTATATAATGATACTAGATAATTAATAATAGCCATTTTTCAGATCTGGTACCAATAAGCAGAGGGGGTAGATAACAAGGGTGCCCCCCATCACCTTACTTATTCATCATAGCTGTGGAATTATTGGCCGTCAAAGTGAGAACCAATGAAATAAGAGAAGGTTTAAAAATAGCGAATGTGAAATCAAAGATCTGTGTGTATGAAGATGACACCAGCTTCCTCTTCAGTGCCAAGCACTCCAGCCTGTGTGTGTTATTAAAACCTTTGGAAACCTTGTTCACAGGTTTAAAACTAAATGATGATAAATGTAAGGTCCTAAGGACTGGGAGAATAAAAGGAACTCCATTCAACATACAAAGTGATGCAGCACTGAAATGAACTGATGGCCCAGTTAATATTCTGGGGATTGAAATTACATAAAGAATGTGGAAGACTTGGAAGTTAACTATAATAAAAAAAATTAAAAAAAACTTGAGAAGATTGAAAAAATATTACAACCATGGAAATATACATCATTAACCTTATACGGAAGAGTAACACTGATAAACTCATTAATAGTGCCCATTTTTGTTTATCTCTTTATGTCCCTCCCCAGACCATCTCAGAGCTTTTCTAGAACTTATGAATGAACAGTATTTGAGTTTATCTGGAATAACAAACCAGAAAAGATACAAAGACAAAGATTATATAATGACTACAAAGTAAGGCATTTTAAAGGATTAAACGTTAAGCTCTTTGTTTAACATGAAAAGCAGCAATGGTTCAGAAAGTGCATGAAAATCCAAAGTCCAGTTGGTTTACAAGTATGTTATTAAAACAAAACCATGTCATTTTTTGTAAGGAACTGTTTTTGTATTTGCAAATAGGAAAAAAAAAAAAAACAAACTCTAGCCTTATTTGAGTGTCTCATAAAGGACGGTTCAGTGTTCTTAAAAGAAGCTCTAGAGTATTGGTTCTGCTTCCAATTCAACCCTCCAACATGATGACATTTTTAGAGCAAATTCTATGGCTAAATTCAAATATATTAACTGATGGCAAAGCCTGACTTTGGGAAAAAGCATTAGAGAATAGACTTGTCTTTATAAATGACCCTGTTGGGGAAGATGGTAGTTTACTTGAATATGATCAGGTCATTGGCCTTTATGGAAACATCTGCTCTCTTCACACATTTAATCAATGGAAGCACAGAATTAACAGTGAAAAAACAAAGTTATTTGTCTGTCAGCCTTTTGCAAAGAACCATATATGGTTAACCCTCATCAGTACACGTGCCAAAACCTACGAATCTGTACACCTGGGGTCCACACGGACCCCAACATCATATTATATATTTTACCATAAGTGTGCAGGTAACAGTTGTCTCCACACGGGGCCTTCACAAATGGAATATTTACACTCCACTGCATGCTTATAGGCACTCATCACACAGAATACTGGTAGTAGAATTTATTGTGTTGTATTGTATTGTGTAAGTCTTTCTTAACTTAAATGAAACACTATGCAACTCTGGTATCTGTCAGAGAAATATCAAAAACAAATAATAACCAGATGTTAGACACCTGCTTCGGCTGGGGTCCACGTGGACCCCAAATTATTTTTTTGTATACACACCACATAAATAATGGTGAAGAAATGAGCTCTCAGGCATGTGATAGCAACAAGTTGGGTGACAACTACCTAAATGGACCAAGAAAAAGACACAACGCAATCAGAAATATGGCGACGTTTTTACACCTGGGGTCCAGGGGAACTGATTAGGGTTAAAAGGAGCTAGGATAAATAAAAGTTTATCATTTTTTTTTTTTTATAATTAATATTTAAATAATAAATCACTGAGAAATATTCCATATAGAACTTATAAAAAAATGGAAAGAAGACCTTTTTGACCCTCAACCCATTCCATGGAAAAAAGGTTGATTTATTTATTTATTTATTTAGATATTTTCAAATTAAACTAATTTACTTTTTTTTTTTTTTTTTTTTTTTTAACCTACAAAGAAGATGCTCAAAATTTGGGGTGGTTGAGGAATCTGAATTGTGTCATGGTTTTGTCATGTTGTTGGTGCCTTCTGGGGTGAAATACAACAAATATTTTGTAATATTATTGATGATTTTGAGCTACGCCCCCTGTCAGGATTATTGGGTTTTGTGGGAGAAAAACAAAGTACAAAGTATATTTTAAACTTGATTATTCTTTTGGGGAAGAAATGTATTTTTAATGTGAAAAATGCTGAATCTAAAAATATTGTTGTTTTTTGTCAGTTTGTAGCATTGTTGTATTTTGGAGGAGTAATGTGTGATTATATATATATATATATATATATATATATATATATATATATATATATATATATATATATATATATATATATATATATATATATAAAGGAAAAAAATAAATTCAGGTCTGTTTGTCTGTTTGACCCACCAGGAGAGCAGGAAGGGGAAAAAATAAATTCCGGGTCTTAAAAAAAAGTCCAGGTCTATTTGACCCACCAGGAGAGCGGGAGGGTTAAAGAGAAAAAAGTTAAAGTATTTTGTATCTGTTTTCAGGTCTAATAAAACTTTGACGTTCAGTA